CTTATAGTGTGCATGTGGTATAGGATGGGAGGAACCTAGCAATAAAATGGCTGCAGTTTCAAGTTTCCAGGAATTTGAAACCTGAAGAAGTTTGCACTTGGCAAAGCTACACTAACCTTTCTACCTATCCAAATTTGTACAAAATAAATGTCAAATAGCAGTTAATATAAAAAGTATAGTACTTACTGCTATAATCACCATATCCATAGTAGTTGTTGTAACCAGTGTAGTCATATCCTCCATAACCACCGTAACCTGGGCTGTTATATCCATAGTTGCCATAGCCTTGATTCCAATAGTTACTATATCCCTGGTTCCAGTTTTGACTGGGGCCTGCAGCACATTAATAGGTTCACTAAAGTCAGAAGATCAGCAAAGATCTTTACTTCAGGATAATTAAAAAGCAGAAAAGCTTAAGATAGAGTAAACTTAGGCTCTAGCTTACCACCACCTCTTCCACGAGCTCTTCCTGAAAATCCTCCTCTAGATCCCCACTGTTGCTGTTGTTGATACTGTTCCTTTGACATGGCTACTTTTATTTCACACTAAAAAAAGGAAAATATTATACTGAATCAAAAAATAATATTGTTTTGAATGGCCAATACTGTCTAAAATACAGCTGGCTAATCTGTTTACCAACTAAAACCATTAGTACTTAAAAAAAATAATTACTTCTGATATCAAAAAATATTTGCTTGAAATACATTACTACATCCTACTTTTTAAAAAATGTATTTTGGTAAAGCCTAGACAAAAATTCACTCAAAAAAAAAAAAAGTTTCATCCTGGCTAGTTTGTCTCAGTTGGTTGGATATCATCTGAAAGGTGGCCAGTTTGATACCCAGTCCGGACACATGCCTGGGGTTGCGGGCTCCATCCCTGGTTGGGGCCATGCAGGAGGCTGCCGATCGATATTTCGCTTTCATATCAATGTTTTTGTCTTTTTCACCCTCTCCCTTCCTCTCTCTAAAAATCAATAAACAATGTATTTTTTTAAAATTAGTTCCCGCCTTACCCTGCGGACCAAAGGATCCGGGATTGATTCCAGTCAAGGACACATACCTGGGGTTGCAGGCTCCTCCCCGGCCCTGGGCCCTAGTCAGGGCTCATGCAGGAGGCAACCAATCGATGTGTTTCTCTCACATCGGTATTTCTCCGTCTTTCCCTCTCTTTAAAAATCAATGGAAAAATATCCTTGGGTGAAGAATAAAAAAATTAGTTTCTCTCTTGCTCCCCAAAGCAAAAAAAGTTGATCAATGACTGTGACAAACAAGGAGCCAATGAAACATCTTTAAAGCACAAGCATGCCAAAGAAAGCCTTTACAAAAAGCTGTATGATTATACTTTTAAAAAAGCTAGTTTTCTAAGTCTGAAATTAAATGAAAGCTAACTTACTTTACTAAGTCCAACATTGTGGTATTTCTTTTCCATTATCTTCTTCACTGGTTCCTCTTCCTTAAAGGTAATAAAGCAGAATCCACGCCTCTTATTGGATTTGTCCATGGGGAGCTCTATGGATTCCACCTGGCATAAAAAAAAAATAAGTTTTAATGCCTTAGTTTGCATGTTACTAACAATAAGAGTACAACTTTAGTGGGGATAAGTGCACAAAGGAAACATATATTTGGCCCTCAGGCTCTAATATGCTGTGTCCCTCTCCATTAATCCTTATCTTTGAAAAGAATTCATCCAATTAGAACATCCACTCTTACCTAAAATGTCTTCAAACATATTTATAAAAACAAGCGTCACAGGGACTAATATTTGCTATCTAATTCAAAGGTCACAAACTCAAATGCCCATCAAGTACAAGCAGAAGGAAAGTCAATTTCAAGAAAAACAGAATAAAAGAGACTGCGTTTGGGAGAAAATAGAGAGTGTTGAGGACCACTGAAAACTGAAGAACATATGATTGCCCAAAGGTGGAAACTTCTACTCCCCTTTGATGGCTGTTGCATACAAGAAAGCAGTTCCAAAGTTGCTTACTCTTATAAATATTTAAGAAAGCTAGATATTCAGATTTTTGTGGGAAATATTTCCACTTCTAAATACTATCAAAACATGCTTCAGTTGTAAATCAAGCAAAAGATGCCTGCAAGCTATATCTGCAAACTATATTTGCAGCTCAAAGTCATATATTTCTCAGCTTTAAATCATTAATCCACAAAAAAAGCTTCTATCTCACTATTTCACTGTCTATACTTAGCCTAATAAAATTTGCACATATATAAGTACTTAAATTAGAAGACACCAAACCCTATTCTTGATTCATTCTTTTCCTAATCTCAGCTGAACCATTTCCTTCTCTCAGGTAATCCAATCTGGATTTCTTCATGTTTTTTATTTTTTCTATTAACATAGTAAACTCTATGAGATAAGAATGTCTATTTCATCTTTTTTACCATGCACAGCAGTGCTATGCATACAGTTCAATAAATGGAAAAATGCAATCATCCAACCTTTAAAGATCTGCTAATAATTCACAATATCATTGCAAAAATAACTGCATAATCTGTTTAAAACTTTGAAAAACCCTTAATGTGACAATTATATTCCACTAATCTGGAAAGAAAACTGGGTCAAAATATCACATACCTCACCAAAACCACCAAAGTACTCCCTTATTTTCTCTTCAGGTGTATCTGGAGAAAGGCCACCAACAAAAATTTTTTTAACAGGCTCTTTTGTTTTCATGGCTTTGGCCCTTTTAGGATCAATCACCTTCCCATTCAATTTATGTTCTTTCTGATCCATGACCTAAGGAAATTGAAGTTTTTTATTTTAAATATGTATATCTTAAGTTCAGAGACTAATATTAACTTATCTAAATATAATTATAGTTAAATTAATATAGCTAAGGCTAGGTATATGTTGACTGGTTCATGATTAAACTGTCAAATTGTAGTGATGTGACACCAGTATTTAAACATAAAGGTAAGAACTAGGATGGAAGACCAAAAATCAATAACTACAAAACATCATCTCTAACTATCAGCAATAGAGAAATGGTTGCCTCTTCTCCTTAGTCCAAGTCAAAATGACTCAGTTAAGTTTCTTGCCTAGCAAATTTCAAAAAAAAGAACTGTACTTCTATAAACTTGTCCCAGCGCATCCTTTTTATTAGTCATCTTTAAGTCTCAATATTTTTAAAGTTAATTTTAATTTAGTAGAGCCTGGCACACAGAATACACGTATTCAATAAATTATTTTTATACTTGGGCATATTTTTAAATTTTTTATCAGAACTATAGTTGGTGCAATAAACAATTATTGAATCTAACTCTTCATTAAATGTAATGGCAAGAATTGTATCTCTTCATATTATTGCAAAAGGGAAAATCACAAATGGGCAAATTAATTTTATCAAGCTATCAACATTTTTAATTATTAATTAATCAGAACACATAACACACTACCTTATCTACACTCTCCGACTCTTTAAACAGCACAAAGCCAAAACCCCTTGATCGCCCTGTGATAGGATCTAACTTCAGAGTGCAGTCTACAACTTCACCAAATTTGGAGAAGTAGTCCTTCAGATCTTTCTTTGTAGTGTCCCAGCTAAGGCCTCCTATAAACATTTTCCTGTAAAGACAAAAAGCAATATTAAAATGCTAAAAAAAAAACACAAAAAAACAAAAACAAACTTTGCCCTAAGTATCGACATCAATAATCTCCTTTTTCAGACTGCACCAATTTACTGGGCAGTATGTGAAAATGTCATTCTTCCTACATAAACCACATATCAAGAACACCCTATTCCAGTTTTAGAAAGTTTTGCTTTATCACTGCTGCACCTGCATAATTACAATATAGTGAGCAAGCAGCAGATTAAGTTTTTTGACTTAGCAAAGATAATGTCTCCCCAAAGTAAAAAAAAACCCGTACATTAAGTCTTTCTTAAATTACAAGTTAAATGTTGGTAACAGCAAAATACAGAATTTTAGCTTCAAATTTCCCTTCCAAACCTTCATTATACGTATAAAAAGGCTATTTATTCCCCACTGATCAGTGACAGTGTCTATGCTAAACTTTTCTACTTAATAGTTCTCATTAACAAAACTCTTAGCACATACAATGGAAAATTCTAAATCTCACATCACAATTAAGTTAACCAAGTTTTTTCATCTGAAGTCCTTAATAAAGACAAAAGTGATCATTTGAACAATTGAGTGAACAAAAAGAATTATCCATTGAAGCACAATCCACTAATTAACCTAGATGAGTTATTTACAGTAGAACCTCAGTTAACCAGCAATAAAATATGTAAACCGTTAAAATGCTAAAAGTGACTGGTGGTAAACAGAAACCACTAAGGCACTTTAAGAACAAAAATATATATTACTAAAATATTTATCTTTTTGTAAACAGCAAAAGGCCATAAAGCTCAGATCTAGCAACTCTGTGATCCTTTTTAGATCTGTGCCCTATGTCCCCCTCCACAAAAGAACTATCATATGACATACCTTCTACCCTTTAAAGAGACAGGACTGGAGATTTTTATTTTAAGGGTAAACTGTCAGAATTTGTTATGTGAGGGCTAACAATTTCATCAGGGAATAAAATCATCCTTGCTCACCGATTTATCATCTTTATAACTGGGGTGGGTCGGGGTAGGGATGGGGATGTGGTACTAACTTCCAGCTGTGGAAAGAAATTAAAGCAGAAAATATCAACACCTTGTGGGTTTTAAAATATTACCACTAAAGCCAATTCTTGCAATAAGAAGCCAATTTTATCCCTAGAATAAGATCTTGCTTCTGCTTCTCCCTAAAGATGCCAGATTAACTGAGGTGTTACTGATCTTACTATTTTACCCATAAACTTATTTTTACTTCTAATAACAAAGTTAACTTTTAATGAAAAAGAAGTCTTACTTAAGGCATACATTGTGCTTCCCACTTCAGGTCAGGTTTTCAACTTGTACATGTTTCTAGAGTTGGGCCCTTTATACGCTTAACTTTCTGGATTTTCTGATAAAATTTCCACGCTTAAAGTAACCTTTATTAACCCTTTTTTGTATTTAATAATCAAATGAACATAACCAAAACATCCATGTTGTATAGGTATTAACATTTATTGCTAATTCAATGGGGGGAGGGAGGGAGTTGAGGTATTTTCAATTACATTTTCTTTCATTCAAGTAATACACCTTGTAATATCCAATCCTAGTCACTTAAGTTGCCTTAAACACCTTATTTTTTAATCTAAAGATCCACAGAACTTCCTTCATAGATGAAAATTCATTACCAACATTTACACTTTCAAGGTTAGGACGTAACTCTTTTTAAAGATGAGAAAACTGACTAGTAAAGCAATGACCTCTTGCTCATTTATCCATTATAAGTTCCAGAACAGAAACAACATCGAGCTGAAATTTAAATTTTAAATTACCAATTCTGTAAATATTAGTTTTCACCAATAATTTAGGTTTGAAATTATTTCAGCCTCTAAATATCTAACAGACCAGACACAGAATTTTCTTGCCTTTCAACTTTAGCTTTTTAAAATAAGGCTTTTGTATTTGAGACAAAATTAGTTTTAATTTTATTTTACCAAGGCAATTTTTATATTGGTTTATCTTAAACTAAGAAAAAACAATCGCAAAGAAATAAATTCTAACACCAAGAATGAGGCATGTTCTATTATTACTCACAAGCCCCGAATGTCTTTTTTACAGCATAGGAAGTCAGTTTTCTTAAATATTAGCTAAGCATACTAATTCATTAACTAGACCTATGAAAGTGCTCTCCAAAGAAACTTCCCACCTTTAATAGTCTTTGGTAGAGAAGTCGTTAACTGTGTCTACCTCAGAACTGAAAAGGTCACTGAAGATGCTATCCTTCCTAATCCATCGAATTCCATTTTCAGAATATAAAATATTCTGGCCAACTGTAATTTATACATATTAAGATTACTATTTCTCAAAATATTTAGAGCAAAACATGTAGAAAACTTCAGCTATCCAACACCTTTAAAGAACAAAAGCCAAATATTCCACCTTCCTTAAGGCACTGCCAGCCTTCCCAAATCTCTCTCCAGCTGTTCTTTAGCATTCAATTATTTGGAATAAAATATCTATATCACCCTTCTGCCTTAATTAAGTAGTGTAATCATGATTTGACACTGTTCGGGTCAGTCATCCCGAATATATCATGCTACTATAAATTAGAGCTATTTATTAACACACTTAGTACATTCCATGTCTTAGTAATTTTAACAAGTTACTTCCATTTTTGCCAGGTTAATCACCAGTTGCTATTCTAAAAGGCCTTCCACCACCCATTTTGGTAGGATAGGTAGGTGAAATTCAAACTTTCCAAATTTTATGTAAAGTATACAATAGTCTGAGTAAGAGTTTTAGTGGCTCTTCTGAGGCAAATGTATTTCCATTTGGTAGGCCAAAAATCACTTTTTTTTTCTGCTCTAAGTATGGTTGCTGCATAACAGATTACCAGACAAGTAAATATACTACAATGAACACAAACTGTACCAAGTCCATTCGATCTGTACTAAATGGAACATATTAAATATAAATACATTCCATCTTTTATTCAATAGGTACACCAAAACATGACAGTGTGGTACAGTAAAGTGTTATTTGAATTCTGGATAAATGGGAACTTATTTTGCCTCTCTAGAATATCAGCACTCTGACATGCTCTCCCTCAAATTGAGATGGTATAAGATGATACCAATTTAAAGTTTCTATGTTTTATATTATTGTATCTTGCTTAGAGCACAATACCTATTGTCCATCCAGATTACCTCTGCTGCCTTGAATACAAAGACTGACTTCCAAGATGCTGTCACTCCTGCAGAGATGTGCAAACACTTTACAATGAAGTACAGATAGAACGTCAGAAAAATCCTAAGCAGCCAAGTTATAACTACATTACAAGATTTGTTCAAGTAGCAACAAAAATGGGCTCCTAATGCTAGAATACAGTTTAAAATTTGATCTTTAGTTTTAAAAGTAAATCAATAACCCCAATTAAAATGTAGGACTTCACCTTCAGTAATTTATTAACCATTTAGTTTTTGAATTCTACCTATAAGGTATTTAGCACCCCAAAGGCAATATACCATTCAATTTAGAACACCCACACAACAATTGAAGTCTCTACTTTTACTGATATTGATTTTACCCCATATTACAGTAAATGACAGGCAAAATTTATATAATTGAGTGCAAATGACTTATCTAAATGCTATCCAGTGTCTTAATTTAGGCTGCTTTGTAGGATATACTTTAGAGAAAATAAATTTAGAGGCAGTAAACCAAAATCCCACCTCCACCACTTACTAACTGTGACCCCAAAGGGGGAAAAAAATTCCATGATTGTTTCCACATCTATAAAAGAAAACAAAACAAAAGACTAAGAGCCTACCTTAAATTAGCATACTAAAAGGGCACAGAACATAGTCTGATGCTCAATGAAAATAAGTTATTATTTAGAAGTGGTAGAGCACAATCTAAATATCTAAATATAATTTAACAAAGCAACTTTTTCATGTATTCAATGGCATAACTTAAATTTGCATAAACTATATGACATTTCCAACATTAAGAGGAAAGGTCAGGATGAATTTTATATAATGGATCCTAAGATTATTTTCAGACTTAACGCAGAAATTTTTAAGTATCCCATGTAAAAAAATGTATGTAGAGTGAAAATCAGGTTGTCTAAAACTAAAGTTTAATTCCAAAAATCATCTTATGACTACTGTGTCTCTACATAAACACCAGTCTGTACTCTACACCAGTTAATGTTAGTAAGGAATAATTTCAAAATATAAAAGGCAATACATATGGAGCAGAGCTGGTTGGTGGGAAATGCTCTAATACTTCTATTTTTTTCCCATCTAAGGAACTTTTTCTCTGTACTTTTTTGAGGTCATTAGGTTTAACATTCCAAAACCAACAGTATTTTATTTCAAGTTACTTCCCCTAACAAGTCTTTAGTGTGAAATATCTTATTCAAGGTAAAATTATAAGCATCATTAGACTTTCAATTTTGGAATAGGGAACCCGCTCCCCGCCCCCCGCCCCCCCCAATTCTATAACTCTCAAACACTTCCGAACAAATCACGATCTTCGTACGTGGTTTCATAACAAGTTCTGACAGTTTAAAAACACAACAAAATGTAAATTGTGATTTACATTTCAAGTATTTGACTAGCCAATCACTGTCACCTTTCAAAATGTTACTCAAGCGTACCACTAACCTTTATTTAAATAAATTTCTTGGTATTTTATCACTGTAGTTATTCCTTTAAAATCTTAAGTATAATGAAATCTCACCAACACTTTCTTCCCCCTTAGAAATTATAGATTTTAAAGCCACCAGTTACCTATAATGGAAGGGATGGGTTTACATTTTTCAACTAAATAGTATCACATTAATCATTTTAGATTCTGTGTAAAACATACCTTTAGAAATAGTTTACAAACTTTTAGCAAGTCATTATAAAACATTAATTTTTCTAGCTTAGTATATTATTAAATGTCATTACTTTATACTTTAGAATGAACTGAAATGACAAAAGAAAACTAAGTTGAAAACATAAGAGCTAATAAACTAAACGTCAGGTTTTAAATAAACTTTAAATGTTTAACCTCAAATCTCCTTTTTCTTCATTTCATTCCAAGACAGGAATGACATCTTGTATTTTTACTTTTCAAATAAACTCTCAAGTTTTGTAAGTCCCATCTACCTAGGGGTTAAGGAATAGGGTTTCCTTAACCTAGAGGCTAAGGTTCTGGTTAACTGAGATTACTACATTCACTATTCTATAACAATATGCATTGGAAATCAATTTAAATATCAACACTAAACTCAGAAAATGATGTTTATCTTTACTGATGAAATTTAAGAATCCTGAGATTCTTTAACTTTTTAATAGTATAAGGGAAAAATTATAGCAGATTCATCCCATGACATTGTTGGTTGCTTTTTTATTACTTGCTAATAGTTTTCACCTTTTTCAAAGGGCTACAGGGGGATTTTCCTAGTTGTTTGGGCTTTGTGATAGTTTCAAGTCTAGGTAAGCAGGAATTTACAGAACATGACCCAATACTTTGAACTATCACCCTAACTATTGGCCAAACACTGCCAATAGGTCTTCCCACCCTACCCATCTTAAATATCTAGCTCCAATGCACAGTATATAATACTCCAGAAACTAAAACATGCTTACCTTTACTCCACAGGAGTAAATCACTGGCAGTATCTACTATTAAGACACAGGACAAATACACACAAACTGAAAGCAAACTATGTAGTCAATCTTCCTGTGGTGAGCAGTTGTCTCCAACACATAGATCAGCAAACCAAGTAACAAACATGTTATATTACCTGAGACCACACTGTTGGAAGTGAAGTAAGAGAAACAGATCCCACGCTTCCAGCATCCAGTTCAGTGCCCTATCTACTAAAATGTTGAAGCAGAACTAAAGTGAAATAAAACTTTGAACTAACAAAAGTTATGTTTCACTTCATTTGTGAACTTGCACACCTCTGAGGTGCACAGCTTTAAGTAGAATAGGAAAGAAGTTCCTTTTTAAATGTTTTCAAGTATGTCATGTATCACTTGAAGACTAAAATGAACCATCCTACATGTTGGTCATAAATCACAGTAGAAAAGACTTTCTTATATTAGGGCAGCCTTACATGACAGAATACTCAGGCAATATTAAAACTACACAGTGAATAAACAACTAGTTTATAGATGTCACACGACTTGAAGGAAAAACAGGCTAAGGCAAGTATACTTATCTCAAAAATGAGCACCGAAAAACTTCAATGATATTCTCTAATTCCAAACCCAAAAGGTCAGGTGATTTTTATAGTATCTTATATGTTCATTACCTCAAGATTTGGGGATATCAATTGCTACAATTTAAACACTGGAAACCTGTCAAAGGTTCCAAAGAATGCTGTAATTCAAACCCCATCTACTCAGGGTCTCAAGTTTACTGACTTAAAGGCCAGTAAAGTTGGCATGAGACTGTTCTAAAATTGTTTTACAGAGCAAATAGTGTTCAGAATGCTCCAAAGCACCAGCATATACTATGATCTCAAATATTTAAAACAAAAACGTATAGTCCCATTTCTTAAAAATTAAAAGGGGAAAACCTATAATTCCAAACAAGCTAATCACACTAGAGTTTATACACTAGTAATTAGATCAAACATCCTATTATTAGAAAAGTGTTGCTATAACTGAATAGAACTATTTTGCTTCCTGCCCAATCCAATGCAAACCAGTCAATGTATCTATTTTGTAAAAGTGTCTAAAAGCTAATTATAGTTTTCCACTGAGCATGAGAATTTAAAATTGCTTTGCTACATGGTATGTCCATTTTGCCAGACACTAATTTTCCAGCATCTATCTTAACAGAACTGCAGCCCTGTAGAGAACAGAGTCCATACCCAAAGAGGAAACTCCAATGCAAAAGCTTCTTAATAAAAATTAAGATATTAAAGTTGGAAAGATTAAAATGAAGTGAATTCAGGAAGGCATTTTATTATGAAAATTACTCCAAAAGCCCATAGTAAACTGTGGAAACATCTATTCAAGGTATGAAATAGGCATGCCCTCCTCAAAACAGCTGTTTAGTCTTATATTCAGATTTTGAGAAAACTTTTAAGTCTACAACACAATGATTTTAAAAATATTTTAGTATGAAACTGTAATCACTTTATTCCCGTTAGAATTGCAAAAGGAAATACATGCAGAAACGTGTTTAAGAAATTAAATTTACATGATTTTATATCTAGTAAGCAGTCTTATCCTCACTATTGAGACTATTATGAAATTGCTGTCCAATGTCCCTCAAACAGGAAGACAAGGAAAAAGGATAGGGTGGCGAGTGCACAGACACAAAAAAGTTGTTTAATGGTCTTGAGTTTTGTTTTTTTTTTGTTCAAAAAGTAAAACAGTATTATATTAATAGGATGAGGCTGGGTGGGAAATAATTTTAAAAGGTCAAATATTAAGACTTTAAAAATGAAAAGCATTATTTGTTAAATGTAAATTTGCTTAGAGTGCACCTCCTATTTTCAATAGGTAATAATCAGACTGAATCTAAAACTTTCATTAAACTATAAATATTTAACTGCCAATTTTTCCTGAGAGGTCACTCAAAAAACTTGTGAAGTTATACTATTGGGTAGCAAAGCAAGTATAATTCTTACAAGAGTAAAACAATAACCTAAGTTTATGGTCCTTTCAAATTACTGAAAATAATTGCTTACACAAGATTTGGAAATATATAATGGAGTAGAAAAACCAAGTACAGTTATCCTTTAATCTTAGTGTGTCACTATTAGCAATAAAGTATCAGTATGAGAGTATAATTTTCATCAGAAACATTTTTATTTTTTATGTCCAACTCTGACCCCAATTTCTTCTTTTGCTTTTTCCCTTTAGACTACTGCTGCTTCCAATCTGCTTTATCTCCAATATAAAACTGGACAGATTTCCGTGGATGGGAATACAGTAACAAGAAAAGCTCAAGTTAAATGTTATCCCAACTGGGCTCTTTGTAGAATGTAATTTGTACATATAAGTCAGCTATCTATTACTGGCCCTCCATGCTCCAGTAGTGGTGGATAAAAAAACTCCTGGAAAACTCTAATATAATCCTAAAGAAAGACTGAGCTTTAGAGAAAAGGAATAATATAAAAAAGTCAATCTACTAGCCTTCCAAAGAGAAGTCATGCAACTGTGAACATGTCAACCAACTGTAATTAACATTCCAGCCAAATCACACAAAATAAAAAATCTAAGAGCTTTAGTGGAAAGCCACATCAGCCCACCTTTGAATAGTACATATCAATTCTTAAAGGTATATTTGTAAATAAATATGTTTGGTGATAAAATACAGTTTTGCATATATATACACAATGCTACTTTTAAAATTATTTTACTTTTGACATCTCCAGAATATTTCAGTATTTAACATGCAAGACATTTTAAACACAAGATTTTATATCAAGTAACCTTCACATTTAGCACTAAACTTATAATTCCAAAATTATCTTTTTCTTAAAAACAAAAATAAAATTAGAAATTTGTTTTTTTCTTGCCCAGATTAAAAAAAAAAATCATTACTAATTATATTAAGCTTTAATTGGCCAAACCACAATTACATGCATTACCACAGAACAAAAACCATGTATTAGCATCAGTTTTGCCCAAAGATCACTCATGATACCTAAAAAGGTTTTATATCCCAGGTACAAGATATCCTACTGTACTAATGTCTAGAATTTCCTGGGGAGTCAATGGGCAACAAACCAAAACACAGCCTCTCCAAGTTATGACTATTGAAACCTTTATAATACAGAAATAAAATGTAAAAGTTTTACCATTCTTCCCGCTGTGTCGTCGCTGCTTCAGAGTGTCGTGGGGAGGAGTTTGAATGGCTAGGGAATTAACAACCGGTACAGCAACCAATCAAAATTCTAGTTTTAGTTTTTGACATTGTTAGGGTTAAAAACTTTAATTAATTTACACTTCAGTTCAACAGTAGATAACTACAAAGGCAGCTACTTTGTGATTTGAAAAATCAAGGTTAACAGGAAGCCTGCCCCAAACAGCAAGTTATAGAATTACTCATTTTGGTACCTCTGCCCAAATAACAGAATTCAGAAAACAAAAATCAAAATAGTAAGGCTTAAGTTTCCAAATATTTAACATAACCCTTTCTTAAATTAAGCTATACATTATTCAAGATTAATTAAGAAAAGCTAGTTTCCTATCCCACCTCCAGTCTCCCAGTCAGCAAACAGCCGGACAAGTCTGTCTGGGCTTAGATTAAATCGTGTACTCCAAAGTGCTTCTCTCTCCTCCCTCCAAATCTTGTGCTCTTTCCCATCTGCTTTTACCTTCCAACACTTTTCTCCTTGTTATAATGAAATAAGTTCTCACACACACACTACAAAAAGGATTGGAAGCTTAACCCAAGATCGGTAGTAACAGGAGTTAAGAAAACCCAACCAAGAACCCCGATTTAGTCCCTCCTGCTAACTCCCGCTCCCAAATGCTGCATTTTAATATATATTAAGTGCAGCTTTAAGTAAGGTGCACAACCATTTCCAATGGGAGGTAGCAAGTTACTATTTAAAAACCTGCAAAACAAAAAAGTTATGCCATAGCATAAGACAGGATTTGTTCATTTTTTAAAAGACTGGTGGGCCTCCTGTAACAGTGGTTAAGAGCAGGAAGGAGAAATCAAGAGAGACCAAAAAAAGGATCCTGGGCCCCGGGTGGGGAAAAAATGATTTTGTTAAAAAAAAAATGGAAATGGCACAGAAAAAGTAAAGTGGGTAAGAGTACCATCCGTAGGAACCAGGGGGGCACTCAGCAGCTGAGAGCGAGAGAAGGGTGCGTGGTGGGTGCAGCTCGGCGGGTGGGGGCAGGGCAGCCCGCAGCCCGCGGCAGAACAGTTCCCGTCCAGGGCCGGCCCCGCCGACCGGGAACTGACCCGGAGCCCGTGGGGCAGAACCAAGGCACCCACAGGCGAGGCGACTCGGGGACTTTCGCCTCGTCCAATCTGTCCCCTAGGCTGAAAAATAGGGGCTAGGGTAAGCAAGCCGCTGTGCGATAGCGTACAGTAAAAAAAAGCGAAGAGATCGAGGCGAAACTTCTTCAAAATACTAAGAAATAAATAAATAAAAGTCGGCCTGAAGCCGAAACGGGAGCACAGGTGGAAGCCTACACGTTCCCCAAAGCATGTACTTTATAAAACAATCGCATCGTCTCGGGATGCTGGAGCGAGTCGCCCCAAATAAACCTTAGTTGCATAAAGGGTTGGTATCTGTTTGCGTTTTTTATGCCCTGGGCTTCGGAAACGGGGAGCAGTCAAGACGGGGGCTTGTGGGGGAAGGTGCCCTCGACAGGCGGGAAAAAATCCTGGCGGCTAAGTCGGTGGGAGGAGACGCAGGGCAAGGGAGGGAATAAGGGCGGGCCGCGGGAGCAGCGTGGTGATGGCTAAAGGTGGAAACGTGTGTGATGGG